CCCAACCTTCCTTCCAAGGAGTGGCTGGTAGGTTTGAACCTTCAGCCTTTTGGTTAGGAGTCAAGTGCCTTAGGCACTATGCTACCAGAGCTCCTTAGGTACTACATGTTAATAAAAAATTTCACAAAAAGGCAGGCAACAGGAGAGACCTGAGAGCACAGCCAGCACCATGAGCCACCTCAACAAGCCCAAGAGTAAGGTGACCCAGGAGGAGCTACAGGAGCAGGAGGAGGAGGAGTTTAAAATGGGCCCCCTCTCCATGCTTAAACAGTCAAGAACACATCCCCAAGTGCTCATCAACTGTCATAACAAGAAGCAGCTCCTGGGCTACATGAAGGTCTTTGACAGGCACTAAAACATGGTGGTGCCAGAGAACATGAAGGAGATGTGGAGTGAGGTCCCCAAGAGTGGCAAGAACAAGAAGTCCAAGCCCATCAACAAGGACTTCAAGATGTTCCTCCATAAGGACTTGTCATCATGGTACTGCAGAACCAACTCTTCACCAGCAAATAGGGACCTGCTCCCATCCTGGAACAATCTCCCGCTGCCCTGTGAAGATGTGCCCCTGTATTGGAAATAATAACATCCCTGTATTTTTTCTATCAAAAAAAAAAAATTTTTTTCTTAATAAGAATCTCATTTGTTCAAAAAAAAATAAACTACAAACTAATGAGACTAGTTCACCTAAGGGATAAGTGGGAACAGGATGGAAGGTAGGAGAGGGAGTACTTCTCTGATACACGTTTTAGCATAAAGCTGGCTTTGGGAACCATATTAGTGTTTCACACACTAAAACAGAGATAAGTAAATAAAAAAATTTGTTGTTGTTGTTATGTGCCGTCGAGTCGGCCCCGACTCATAGCGACCCCTCCTTGGGTTTCCGAGGCAGTATCACTACGGAAGTAGGATTGCCCAACCTTCCTTCCGAGGAGTGGCTGGTGGGTTTGAACCGCCAGCCGTCTGGTTAGCAGGCAAGTGTCTTAGCCACTATGCTACCAGAGCTCCTGGGAACCATATAAGTGTTTCACACACTAAAACAGAGATAAGTAAAAAAATTTAGAGAGGGAAAATTTAAAATGATGTATATAAACAGAAACAAATGAGACTAATTATTTCAAAATGAAAAAATTAATCATACTTAATTAAGAACTAAAGTAAAAACCCTTTTTTTAAAATGTAATTTATTGAAATTAAATTCACATAACATAAAATTAAACTATTTTTAAATGAACAATTCAGAAGCATTTAGTACATTCATGTTACCCAATCACCGCCTCTATCTAGTTCCAAAATATTTCCATCATTCCAAAGTAAAACTGTTACACATCAAGCAATCTCTCCCCATTTCCTCCTTCCCTCAGCCCCACAAATGTGAGTTCTGACTCTATTTATCTATTCTGTATATTTCACATAAATGGAATTGTACAGTATATGACCTTTTATGTTTGGCTTCTTTCACTTAGCATTGTTTTCCATATTCAACCATGTTATAGTATGTATCAGTATTTCTTTTTACAGATGATGTAAGTAACTTTTAAACAGAGTATTCTGACCTTCAAAGTAAAGCTAAGAATTATAAAGAAAAATTGAATTCTAGTTTGTAAGTCTCTTTTTCATAGTGGTATGTATTAACAACTATGAAACTATTTTCTGTGCATTCTAGAACTGAACAAATAAGTAAATATACTGTGATTAACAAGAGTAGGTTTCTCACTGTGGAAGACAAAAGTGATATAATACAAGTTACAACTTAAATATGTCAAGGAGAGCACACAAAATTATATTAAAAAGCACATTCATTCAATTACTTTATAGCCCTATCCATGAAAACTGTCATAAAACTTGAAACATTTGACTTCCCACCTCCTGCAATCCCCTAGAACACACTTAATCTTTAAATAACTTTTCGTATATATAACAAGGTTTTCTGAAAGCATGTGACTTACTGTGAAAGAAATCACTATTTTCTATTAAAAAAACAAACTATTCAGAGAGATCATTAATACTACATCTTCAGATTTAGAATCATTAAATAATTTTTCTTTGAAAAACTCATTGCTCTATTTAAATTAAAACTTTTCTTTATTAAAATTAAAATCTTTATCAGATTAAACTGTTCAGGGAATGAGTTGTACAATTTTCTTATTAAACCAAGATTAACCTAGAAACTCATTTAGTTTAAACTTTTTAAGGAATAAATTTCTAAATGATAACCTTCATACACATGGTCAATTGATTTTGAACAAGGGTCCCAAGACTAATGAATGGGAAAAAAACTATTTCTTCAACAAATGTGCTGGGAAAACTGACTATCAAATTTGCAAAAAAATGAATTGTGCTTATCTTCTACCATATATAAAAGTTAACTCAAAATGGATAAAAGACATAAACGGAAGAGCTAAAACTATAAAACTCTTAGAAGAAAACACAGGGATAAATCTTATGACCCTAGATGGGCAATGGTTTCTAAATCACAGACAATGAAAGAAGAAATAAGTAAATTGAGCCTCACCAAAATTGAAAAGTTTTGTACCTCAAAGGATACTACCAAGAGAATAAAAAGACAACTCACAGAATAGGAGAAATTATTTGTAAATTATGTATCTGATAAGATATATAACGGTGATGATAATATCTAGAATATATAAAGAACTGCATAAGCCAACCAAAAAACTCAATTCAAAAATGGACAAAGGACTTGCATAGACACTTCTCCAAGGATATACAAATGGCCAATAAGTACGTGAAAAGATGCTCAACATCATTAGTCATCAGGAAAATGTAAATCAAAACCACAGTGAGATACCACTTCATATTCACTAGGATGGCTATTTTTTTTTTTAATTTAAAAAAAAAAAAAGTGTAAGCAAGGAAGTGGAGAAACCGCAACCCTCTTGCACTGCTAGTGGGAATATAAAATGGTCCAGCTGCTGTGGAAAACAGTTTGGCAGTTCCTCAGAAAGTTAAACATAGAATTACCATATGACCATATGCTAGGCATACACCTAAGAGACTTGAAAGCAGGGACTCAGATACTTGTACAACAATGTTTATAGTAGCTTTATTCACAGTACTTAAACGGTAGAAACAACCCAAGCATCCATCAAGAGATGCATAGATAAACAAAATGTGATATATACACATATAATGGAATACTATCAGCCATACAATAAGACAGAAAAGCAGCTACCAGGTGAGTAGTTTCTTAAGAACCACTAACTTTGTTGGTATAAACTGATAGAGTTCTTAAGATTTCAGTGACTTCTGAAAAAACAACCAGCTTCCATGCTTAAAGATGAAATAAATAGTGACAGCTTCCCTGACCTTCACTCCCTGAGCTCTTCCAAAGGTTATATATGCCTTTAATTTCCTGTGTTAAAACCCTTCATACTTGGAACTGGGCGGCCTCTGTTTTCCTAACCAAACTCTGACTGATATAGTATATGTGAAAATACTATAAACTAGGAAAGACCATACAAAGGCATGGTATTCGTATTTCTGTTCTCACTGATAAGAAATTTCAATTGAGGCTGTTTTCTGGTCACTAGCCTCTTTTTAGAAAAATCAATACATCCAAAATAAAATGTCCTTCTAAAATCAATAAAACAATGATGTTTTTTCTTGCTACAAAAACCAGCTCTCTACCTAACTTCATTTCTGCAATTAATCATTCACTCAATCAATGTGTGTTTACTAAGCTTCTACATCATCCAAGGCACTATGCCAGGAGTCAAGAGCTCCCCCTCCAAAAGTTTATCATATATGAAAATAACAAAAACATAAAAATTTATAACATAAACTTACAGACCAGGAACCACATGGACTAAACTCTACTTGAGGGAAAAAAAGTAAAGTCAAAAAAGGACTTAAGGAAGAACAGGTATTAAAGGTTACATGAAACTGAATGTTATAGGGTAGGAAAATTTTTCAAAGTAGACATAATGCTCAAAGAAACAAAGCTAGTAACTCTAGGGCATGTATTGAGAATCAATCAACCAACCAGTTGCTGTTAAGTTGATTCCAACACATGGCATCCCCAAGTGTGTCACAGCAGAACTGTGTTCCAATGGCTGATTTTTCTGAAATAGATTGCCAGGCCTCTCTTCCAAAGCACCTCTGGGAAGACATGAATCTCTCCACTTTCTGTCAGCAGCCATGTGCATGAACTGTTTGCACCAGCCAGAGACTCCATGTGAAGACAAGGGTATGTAATACAGTACGGCTTACACTGTATTAATTGAGTGTGTACAAAGGAGAGAGAGCTGAGGCCAAATTATGCAAGGCCTGAAAAGCTAACAACTGGACTTTACTGCTATCACCCAACTTCAGACTCACAGAGAAATTACAAAATTTCACACCTAGATAACAAAATCAGACTGTTAACGTGATGCCCCAATTAATGCCTAATAGTAATATGAAGAATGATCTAAGCAAAGAAAAGTAACTGAGCTTCCTAAAATGTTGTTTTCATCCTAATGTTCAAAAACCTTCAATAACTTCTGAATGGATACCTTTATCAAGTTCCTCAATACCATGGTCTCTCATCCTATTCAACTCTATTTCTATCATTGCTCAAAATGACCATCTTTGTCCAGATAGACTATTCTCCACATTGCTCTGTGATCACAGTCAGAAAATACAGGTGCAACATTGTACTACCGCTGAGGCTTTGCAACTTCTCTCACACTCCTGAAATACTTCCCCTATCATGTGAAAAAGCCCTGCCTGCCCTACTGGAGGATGAGAGACCACATACAGGAGAACTAAAGCATCCCAGCCAACAGTCAGGACCAAATGCCAGATTTATGAGTGAGGCCACACTGGACCATCAAGTTCCAACAAAGGTATCAACCCCAGGAGTGACCCTAAATGAGATGAGAAGAACTGCCAACTTAATTCAGTCAGAATTATAAAATTATGAAAAATAAATGATTATTGCTTTAAATCATTAGATTTTGGGATAGTTTGTTACAAAGCCATAAATAGTTGACATAGCATACCTTCTTGATCTGCTTTTTGACCTAGACCTCGGAACTCTATAGGATTTCCCTCGACCTCGTGAACGACTTCGACTTCGTTTTCTTCTTGAGCCATACGAAGAACTACTGCTTGATCGATGCCTGCGTCTGAAATAACATATAATAAAATATCATTGCTATAAAATTATTTTATCATGGACATTAAGGAGAAATTTCTAGATTCCAAAGAATTATCTCATTTTCATTATGTAGAGACGATGACCACATCTCATTTCTCTCCTTCCTTGAAGCAAACAGAAATAAATCAAAGTATTATTCCTCTTGAAGAGCCAGATAACTGATTCTTAATTTACTAATAGGATCCACTACTAATTAAGGCATTATGGATTTTAACTAGTATATAATCCTTCTAATTTTATCATATATTATGAGAATTAAATCAGTTTATATCTATTTGTTTACAAAAAAAAAAACAAAAGTGAAGACACTAAACCCATAGGCTTATCATTATGTGACACCAAGTCGATTTCAATTCATCATGACCCTGTATGACGGAGCAAAATTCCTCATAGGGTTTTCCAGGCTGTAACTTTTACAAAAGCAGATCATCAGGTCTTTCCTCCTGCAGAGCTGCTGTGTAGGTTCAAACTGCCAATCTCTGAGTTAGCAACCAAATGCTTAACCATTGTGCCACCAGGGTTCCTTACCCATGAGGTAGGCATGGTGAAAAAAAACCTCTGGTTTGGGACCCAACCCTCAACATGAATATATAACTACTGGGGAAAAAAAGAGTTTTACTCAACAAAATTAAAAGTATAAAAGCTTATGAACTCTAAAGAAATTTACCGTCAGTATCATATAAATAAAAATTATGAAAATCACCTTCTGTCATAAGAATGTGAACGAGGCTGAAGATCTCTAGACCAAGATCTTGACTTTGACCTTGATTTCCTTCCACCTTTCTTTCGGCTGTATATTCTACTATCTGAAGAACTACTTGAAGATGATCGTCTACGGTGTTTCTTTTTTCTCTTACTTCTGCTTTCTTCTTCAGTATCTGATGACCGGCGTCCCATTTCTATAAGCTTAAAGAAAATTATTTCTTGTTTTCTTTTTTCAGACTAGTACAATGAACCCCCACGTACCCATAACCTAGCTTCAAAAACTATCAATTAATGGCTAATCTTTCTTTCATTTTTAAATCCCTTCAGCTATATCAAAGAAAATCATTTCTAACATAAGAGCACAATCAGTAAAAATCAGCAGAGTAATTTTATAAAAATTTTGTACAATATTTTGAAGCGTTAAACTAAAATTTTAAATGTGCCTGGCCTCTTGATAGGAGAAACAGCTCTAGTACAGTCTTTTAGGATATCAGTGAACTGTTCTTAGAACTTAAGAATATTTAAATTTGCCCCAATTTTTTTCAAAGGTCTCTCAAAATGCCAAATACTGGGAGGGGGAGGAAGGGTAAAGCACTAACTAGATAGTACACAAGTGTTAATACTGGTAAAGGAAAAGGCAGTATACAATACAGGAAAAGTCAGCACAAGGTGACCAAGGAAAAGGAAGACAGTGAGAGGTATGCAAGAATAAAGGGAAACTATGGTAAATGCTGTAACAATCTTACAACAGTAATAACAAACAACAATTTGAGGGTAAATGCATAGGTAAATATGAATGCTAAATAGGTGAGGGAGGTCATACGGGAGTACACCTATGTACATATAAAGGCATAGCTGTGAATATTTCTACATATATATTTGTAAATGCTGCATGTATACATACATACACACACACACATACACATATATAATAAACCACATAGGGGGCACAGTTATAGAAACTACTTTAGACACTGGGAATGAACTGCAGGACTGGAAGGCTTAGTACCATATTTTCAGGGGGCATCTAGGTCAACTGGCAAAATACATTTCATAAAGATAATGTTCTACATCTGTTCTGGTTACCTAATACCGTTCTGACGGGAATATACCACAAATGGGATGGCTTCAACAAACAGGAATTTATTCTTACAATTTGGAGGCTTTAAGTCCAAATTCAAAGTGCCAAGCTCTAGGGGCTGGGTGAAAGCCCCTCAGCCTTGGGCTTCAGCGCTGCCTTCTGCTCCCAGCCCACTGAAGCTAAAGGAGTTTGTTCACTCAGACAGCTGCTGGCTGCTGAGGCTGACAAGCCCAAGCAAGGTTCACAAGTAAAAAAGGCACAGTCCCAATGTTACCAAACCACATAGCAGACCATTAATTTAAGTCCATTGTAAGTCCCTAGTCAGCAGAGAATGGCAGGCTGCTGAACAATGACATGGCTACATGCAGGGTCCAAGCATGCCATAAGCTAGAGACCATTCCCAAGGCTTCTCCTTACTTATAGGAAGCAGACCACATTCCAAAGGCAGCTACTCAGCTGCTTGTGGTAGATCCCACCTTGGAGTTGACTGCCAGTCTCATCACGGGGAATAACTGCCACCAGCTGCCCAGCCACTCAACCAGGCCCATCCAAGTTGACACACAAACATAACTACCACAACATCCTAATCCCATAAGTGGCATCTGTGGTCTTAAAAGCTTGCAAGTGGTCATCTAATAAGCAACTACTGGTCTCTTCCTGCCTGGAGCAAAAGAAAATGAAGAAAACCAAACACTCAAGGAAACAATTAGTCCAAAGAACTAACAGCCCAAATGATCCACAACATCCACTAACTAGAGACTAGAAGAACTAAATGGTGTCTGGCTTCCACTACTGACCACTCCGAATTGTTGTTGTTGTTGTTTGCTGTCGAGTCCACCCCGACTCATAGCAACCCCTCCTTGGGTTTCCGAGGCAGTATCACTATGGAAGTAGGATTGCCCAACCTTCCTTCCGAGGAGTGGCGAGGAGTGGCTGGTGGGTTTGAACCGCCAGCCTTCTGGTGAGCAGTCAAGTGCCTTAGGCACTATGCTACCAGAGCTCCCAGACCACTCTGAATAGGACCATAATAAAAGTTTCCACTTAGGAAAAAAAAAAAAAAAGAATAAAATTCAAACTAAAAGAAAAAAAAGACCAGGCTGATTAATCTGAAAGAAACTGAAGGAACTCCCAAGAGTACTGCCTGTGGTGTAGTAAATTACCTGGTATGGCTTTTCTAGCCATAAGCCTTTGTAAACTCCATGGTGGAATTTGCAGTGGGCAGCTAGGAGCTCCTAATTGTTAAAGTCATCTACCTAGGGTATTTCTGTTGAGAGTGGCACAAAGCAATGTTCTGGAAAGTTTGCTCTCTATCTCAGGTGCTTAGAATTCTGATGTTATGATTGGTTAGTTTGGCCACTCTGCCAGGCTCAAAAGGAGGCCTCCTAGAGGCAGAAGGAATCTCTCGCTGCCAGCCAGGAGACATGAGAGACATGCACTGCTGGGAGAGAGACTGTTGGCTGAGATATGGCGGGCTGAGAAACTGAGCGTGTTCCTGAACTTGAATTATAGCCTGTTGCTTCCCTAATAAACCCCACAATCTGTGAGTTCTGTGTTGCCACTGCAGCGAATTATTGAACCCAGCAGAGAGGTAATGGGTCCTGTGGGAGGAACAGTTGGTGAAAGGGCTGGAGGGAGGCAGCATGTCTGGCCTAGCAGGGATAGGCCTTAGGCTACTGATAGTGATTCTGTCTTCCTCTTGTGAGGTGAGAGGAAGGAGGTCTGTTCTAGTTACCTAGTGCCACTCTGACAAATATAACACAAACTGCTCTGACAAATATACCACAAATGGATGGCTTGAACAAACAGGAGTTTACTCTTACAATTTGGAGGCTTTAAGTCCAAGTTCAAAGTGCCAGGCTCTAGGGGCTGGGTGAAAGCTCCTCGACCTTGGGCTTCAGCTCTGCCCCCAGGTCCTGGCCCACTGGAGCTAGAGGCTTTTCTTCACTCAGACAGCTGCTGGCTGCTGAGACTGACAAACCCAAGGTTGACAAGTAAAAAGACATAGGCCTGATGTTAACAAACCACATAGCATATCATTAATTTAAGTCCACTGAAAGTCCCAGCATCGGCAGAGCATGGCAGGCTGCTGAATAACAACATGGCTACATGCAGGGTTCAAGCGTGCCATAATCTAGAGACCCTTCCCAAAGCTGCTGCTTATATACGGGAAGCAGACCACATTCCAAAGGCAGCTACTCAGCTGTTCACAGTACATTCCACCATGGAGTTGATTACCAGTCTCAACATGGGGAATACTACATCCAACTGCCCAGCCACTCAACCAGGCCTAGCCAAGTTGATACACAAACTAAACTACCACAAGGTCAGAAGATACGGCCTCCTTGCCCCCTTGGCACTGCCCTAAGATAATCTTCAAACTTGAAACTGAAGACACTCCTGGGGCCATCTTCCAGCCATATAACAGACATCCTATAAAATAAATAGTAACAACACCCAAGAAGAATGTGTTCCTTACAACAATCAACTATACTAGACCAAAAGGGCAACATTTGCCCAAAACCAAAGACAAGAACGCAAGAACAGAGCCAGAAACTGCACAAATAGCCAACTCAAGGAGAAAATGGAGAGAGTGCTGACACTGCAGGGATGGCAACCAATATCATGGAACAATCTTTGCATTAATTATTGATCTAAAGATTAATTTGCTATGTAAACTTTCATCTAAAGCAAAAAAAAAAAATGTTGAAAAATAGATTATGGCACCTCTGCACTACACAGCAATAAATAAATAAAAAGGGAAATCGTATTTCTGAGAATATATCTTAAAATGCTTTTCAAAAATAAAAACATAGTCATAAAGATATTCACTACATTATTGAAACCGAATCTCATGACTACAATTTAAAAATATGTACATATGGACAAGAAAAAAAATAAAACAACTGATATTATTTAAGTGATGAAACTGGGTTTCTTTTTTCTTTTTTTTTTTTTAACTAATTTCTATAGGGCTATTGGTTAAAGCAAAAACAAACCTGCTATCTTCGAGACAATTCTAATTCATAGCGACCCTCAGCACAGTATCAGACTGCCACACTGTTCTTCCCAAGAGCAGCTGGTGGGTTCCAAACACCAACCTTTCAGTCAGCAGCCAAGTACTCAACCACTATGCCACCAGGGCTCCCTGCACATCTATAGGAATGTTTGTATATTTAGTATACAGAAAGGAAAAGCATACAATAAACTTTTCTTTGACTTTTTTTCTAATATTTAGGAAGAAACTTTACTGATAAGAAGCTTACTTATCTTACTTTAAAATTAGTCTTTAGATTCTCATATGCAATCTTGTTTTTTAATTTTTTTTCACTAAAATAGTTATTAGCTAACTTTCAATGGCACGTAGAAACAAGACTCGTTTATAAAATGGTTTAGATCAGATAAACAAAAACTCACATTATGGTAAATGAAATATCATTACCATAAACAAATTAGTATGTTGAATTTTTGTTTTATTCAGAATTATAAAATGAGCCAACTCCTTCCGACTCCAATGTAATACCTCCTACTCCACTTGAAAATTTAGAGCTCAATTCAAAACTTTAAGCTATTTAATCAATCATATGAGACCAAAAGGGCAGCATCTGCCCAAAACAAAAGCTCAGGAAAGCAGGTGTGTGCTATTAAAATGTCCACATACATTACATAGCTAACAGGAGAAAAGTTAGAATAACTCCTTAGCTACAAACAAGCATCTTGAAGGAGTGAGTTGCTGGATCTGTGAGCTTGGGACCATGGTCACAGAGGACATCAAGCTCAATTGGCACAACATAGTACACAAAACATTGTTCTACATCTTATTTTGGTGAATAGCAACTGGGGTCTTAAAAGCTTTCAAGTGGCCATTTAAGATGCAACTATTGTTCTCTCCTCTTCTGAAGCAAAGAAGAGTGAAGAAAATCACAAACATATGGAAACAATTACTCAAAGGGACTAACGGACAAAGGGAACTTCAGCCTACATGACCCTGAGACCAGAACTAAATGGTGCCCAGCTACCAATGCCCACCATTCAGAAAGAGATCAAAATGGGAGATCCTGGACAGAGTAGGAGAAAAAATGTGGAACAAAACTCAAAAACGTGAAAAAGATCAGGATTACTG